GCGAGTCGTTTCATCAGAGAAGGCATACCTTTGGTATCCTTTGTTAGAATTTTGCCTGCAGTAGACAGTTCTAAATCATTTAGAACAAGCTTCTCTGTATATATTTTGTATTTTCTATCTTAAGAGTATGATTTCTTTCTTCATAACTGTGAGGCTTTGATGCCATGCATTTCTCAGAACAAAAGTTCCAGGTAAGCTCAGTTTGTGAGATGCCAGGCTTTCATATCATGCATTTCTCAGAACAAATATTCTAGTTAAGCTCAGATGATGATTGCTGTTATCAGGAGCAAAATCCAGACTTATTCACCACCTGCTTAAATCTCAAGTGTATGACATCATTGGATTTCACCTGCCTCCTGCAAAGACAAATGGAAAGAAGTACTGGAATATATATATCCAGTGGTAAGAAGTTACTCTGTTTTATGGGTTTTGTGCCCACTGACGACCACGTTATAGAAAGCATTGTTGTGAAATAGAGTTAATGGTCTGTGGAAAACCCAACGCTGCAGGTATGGAAAAGGAAGTTAGACAAGCATCAGCCCAGAATAGTGTAGATATAGGTTGACATAGGTGATAGACTAGATGACCCTTTGAGGTTCCTTCTTCTCCATTGATTCTATCAATTCTTCTGCAATCCAAGGAAAATAATTATTATACAAGCATCTGGTAGAGAAAGAGCTGAAACAGCAAAGTAAGAATGACAGTGAGAATAAGAAATGGCTAAAGGGAAGAAAGTATGCTACCATAATTCAATAGACTGAGTAGACAGCAAAGAAAATAAGTGACTGTTTTTTCCTTTAGAGACATATGGAAGGAAACAAGAAAAAACATGTAAAATAAAAACCATAAATTATCCAAGTTTCAATAGTAATTATTTTTATTTACCACCCAAATTCAGATTTCTTTAAAAAATAGTATATTTTTCCCAAATAAAAGTAGTGTAGATATGGTGAAAATGTGCATTTTGCTTTCTATTCAAACACTGCCTTATTGAATTAAATTTATAAAATGAAAGAGAGAAACACTAGAACACCTATCGGGTGGATTCACCATGAATCTTAGGTTGTCACATTTAACCATGTTGTCCAAGTTGGATGGAAGTACAATGACAGCATAGAAAGATTTAGTGAGGACAGAGAGTCATAGTGAAAACAGTCCTGAATGATGTTGATAATTGAGTGTTCTACTGAAGCATACCACATGGCTAAGATTTCAGTGTGAGCACGTTTCAGGGAGAACAAGGACAAAAGTACACAGTAATATAAGTTGTTACTACAGAACACATATATTCACCCATTAAAATAATACAGAAAAACAACAAATCAGTGTTATACTGGGATGCAAGAAGATGAGTAAATGCTTGTTGCGGAAAGGATGCCTCCCTAAAAAGTCCAAGAGTGAGCCATATGCACACCATCTGCAAGAGACCTCATAATAGTCATGAAAGGTATAGTATTTTGAAGTATTGATCAAAACATTTTACATTTTGCATTAGCTCAAAGAATATTACTTGAACAACCACTTCACTACTTATTTTTCAGGGATTCCTAAGCATGAAATAGTTTAAAGGTCTTCAAAAGTTTGGACCTCATCATTGTTTGCAGGTAATACTAACGATATAGTATTCCAATATCATAATGTTCTGTATGGTCTTAACTTGTAGCCCAGCTTTCTGATAACCTTTTTCAGGATATTTTATTCCATTTGTGCTTTTCAAGGCAAATTTAGAGCATGTAGTTTGCAGCTGCTGGACTGTGTTCAGAGTTCTGCAAGTACAAAATCCAGAAGCTTGGCGTATTTCTTGTCTCCTCTCCTTTGTTCCATAACTTCCTCTTTCCTCCACAAATGAACATGAACCTATCTAATATTTCATAGAGGTGGTATAGGAAGATGGGAAGGACAATTTTAACTAAAAAAAAAAAAAAAAAAAAGTTAATTTTGCCTGCATTGTTTGAAGAAAGCTTCAAAGATTCTGACCAGCTACAGTTATCTGAAGACGTATCAAGTCAAGAAAACATTTATTTTGAAGTCAAATTTGCAAACCACTGATTTTTAACACTGTGATGCAGTGATTGTCCCAGGTGTGGGATTCACCTCCAGATTACCAGATCTGCCTGTGAGGTAAGTGTTGACACTGTCATTGAGCTAGTAGAGGTCTAGTCAATACAGGCAGTGGAGCCCAGTTAGATCTTTGGCTGACTGCTTTGTCTGTAGATGCCCACTTTATGGTTACTTGAGTATCTTCCAAACATCATTAATTAAATTAATTGACCAAGAATTCAATGAAATTGCCCACATACAGACATCTAGTAATGTATGAGATGCCAGAGGATGTCCAAGACATCCTCTTGAGGTTGGCAGGTAAGACAGAAATTTGTAGGGGACCCATACCTTGCCAGAGCAGCAGCTAGAAACAAGGCAAAATACTCCAAGACAACCCAGGTGGGACTAGCCACCTCTGTACAACCAATTTGAGTCCTACATCTCCACGGATTAAGCCTGCACATGTGGCTTACATGTAGAGCCAAGGGTAAGCACGTAAGTGTAGGTGTCTACCGTAAGAAGTAAAATCCTCTTGTAGATTTTAAAATATACAACTTTGCAATTCTGAGAACTTCATGGCACCTGCCTTCTTTTTCAAAAGTCCCCTAAGATGTGCAACTCTCAGTGCCTAAACAACTGAAAAAATCCAGTTCCTGAGTTGAAAGGAAAAGAAAGCATGGCTTTTACTAAGAGCTAATACAGGGAAGATTAAGGCACTGATTCCCATCAAGTGGATGATGCCAGGAGAGAGGCTGTCAAAAGTTACCATGGCCTTTTCAGCACAGCATCTTTGTCTCTGAAAATGCAAAAAGTTTCTTTGCAGTTACTTGATAACAATTTCTGATCACTCTGTTGTAAAAGTAGCATTTCATTATTTATCTGTTGACTTCAGTAGGAGCTGCAGGGCTTCCAGAGGTATTGAAAATGAGGCAATGGATATAAATTCTAAATACAGATTTAGGAATCTAACATAGGCAGAGATCATAGACAATCCTGACAGTCTTTCTACAGATGCTACTCTTTATGCATGCCCATTCTATATAGTATATGGTTAAGTGTATTTTATTATACCATTAAGAATCAAATAAGCCCCTTGGTTAGGTAAAGAATTTATTGTTTGAGCAGTTAATGTTCTCTTTTATTATGGACACTAAGAGTTTATGTAATTTGATATTCAAGTAACCCGTGTAAAAGGACATGAAAAGTTTATGTGGAAGTCATTTTTTGATGTCAAGAAAAAAATTTCTAGTTGTTAAAAGCAGAGCATAATAATTCATACTTACAGGAAAAAGGATAAGTCACCCTCTTTGTCACAGCGAGAAACCTCTATACAGAAGTCAGACCCCTGAACTTCCCATTGTCTCTGCTAGGAAAACCTGGACTGTGATTTTAATAGAGTTAGGTATTTTAGGAAATAATTTTCATCTGTTTGGGTTTTCTGGTTTTGTTTTTGTTTTTTTACAAGGAGATTACACAGGTATTCAAATGATATCTGTTGTCTTATGATGGTGTTATGTAGTCTCATCCTCCGTAACAGAATGCTTAAAATCCATTGGTATTAAAATGTTCATAATTTGTCTAACAAAAGCTGTGTTTTGTGAGATATACAATAATTTTCTTAAATGGCATGATGTTTCAGTTCACTGTAGTGTAACCTAATGCAATAATGTGTGTAGCACAATGTATTTCTCTAACATGCTAGTGTGATTGGCAGTGATGACAGTGACAAGCATTCTGTGCTTCTCATTTTTGTTCTAGATCTCCCTTTGGATCATTTATATGTTCTCCAAAAGAAGGAGAAATAGCAAAGAAGAGTGAAAAACAAAGCCATAGTGAAGGAAGAATGTGCCTGGGATGCCTTTTGCGATCAAGCATGGTCATTCCATGATGTCAAGGACAGCGTTTATCCAAGCCTCACAGCAGACTGGCGAATAGAGTGGTCACTCCAATAGCATGCAGTTTTGTTCATGTTTTTTTTTTAAAAAGTAGATTCAATTCATTAAAAAGTATGAAGTATTACCAACTGGGTCTTGTGTGAGTTTCTCTGAATGATTGCATAGCATAAAATGAGCAATAAGGCATGCATTGTGTAAACTTAAAATTGCAGCATTCCTGGAAAGTTAAAATGTTTTTCCAAAGATGACATTCCGTCTCTTAGCCATTGACAGAGTGGTGTGAGCTCTTTTAGTGGAAACCTCTCTTTTTCTTAAGCAAATCCATTTCATTGTAGCAGCAAAATAAAGATATGCATGCTCTGTTTAGCTGTAGCACACTTACTAACCAACAAATATTAATTTATGCCAAAATAGTGTAAAATGTGTTTGCCAAAATTCAGCAAAAGCATGATGAAACAAATGAGCAAACAAGTGAAAAAACCCACACAACAAAATGCTGCAAGTTCAATACATTCCCAGAGAGCAGACATTTCATATTACAGGATATCAGCCATGTGCAGCTTTTCATTTTAAACCATATATGATCCCAGTTATGCAGAAAAACCCTCAAAGATATGCTGTAAGTCTTGAGTGTGTACGTAGATATTTTGCCACGTAGAGCCCTGAAAGGGAGCTGCCCTAAAATGACAGCTGTACTTGCACTGTTCCCCTCTTTATTGCTGAGAGGCTGGTTTTACAGATGATAAGTGCATTGCATGACTCTTTTCACACTTAGTGAAGCCTTGAGGGACCGTAAATTCTATGGCAAACTGAAAAAAACTCAAAGATAGGCCTTGCTAAGACATGCAAACGGTGCATAAGATGGCTGGTTATGTTGCAGACCGGGGGCCGTTTCCTTGGAAATATGTTTTTATGGAAAGTCCATTTTTGTTGTATTGTTATTGTCTCTTAGGCTGTGCACTTGCTTCCCAGAAAGCCAAGCTGCCTTGTCTGAACGCACTACCTCAGAAATTGTGATTTATGTGGAAAACTCTGTGACATCATCATTATATTTCTTTGTAGAGCCTGCACTAGACAACGCATGCTGAGCGGATCTTTTGAGGGGCAGCCTGCAAAGGAAAGGTCAATACTTAGTGTCCAGCATCATATACGACAAGAACGCAGGTAAACATGGACAAAAAGAATGGTTTTAAAATATTCTTAAAATAAAGGTGACAGAAAGAATTAAATTTGAGCAATACCTAGTGTGTGAAAAACTGAAATTACTTACTTGTACAAAGAACCAAATTCTACATTCTTCATTGTAACCATAATGAAATTCACTGTACTGTATAAATGGAAAAAATGCCTTTTTATTTCAAATGTCATTTCCTTCACCAACTACAAAGCTATCAATTTAAAGATCAGAGGAAAGAAATTGGCTTATGTTAGACCAGATTGAAAACAATTGAAGAACATATAAGCTTCTGATGTTAGCGAGAGAAAAATGATAAGAATTTGAGATAGTGGGTGGCTGGAGAGCAGTGCTTTATAATGGCCATCCTATAAAGGTCAAAATTTCATCTTGAGATGTGTCGTTAAATTGATTATGATTGTTTCAGGTCACTGAGACATGGTTCCAACAGCCAGCGAATCAGCAGAGGAAAATCTCTTGAAACATTGACTCAAGATGTAAGTCCTCATAGAATTGATGGTTTTAGTCTGAGAATATAAGAAATAAGAATATGTACTATGTAATAAATGCTTATGTAAGACTAATGTCTTTCTATGATCTTGTTTACAATTTGTCTTTTGCAGTCTTGAAATCATAAAACAAATACTATAATTGCATTAGAATTATCCTCAAAGTAATTTGTGTGGTTATTTCACTGATAGACTTACTGGTTTTGAAACACTTGCTGAGACAGATTCACTGAAGCTGTAGACACTACACTAGGAACACAACAATTCCTACACAGGATACCTTAAAAAGCTTTACTCTGGAATTACACAAATCACTCCAGCTGGCAAAACAGCACTTCAGAATTTCCAGTGGAAGTTTAACAATATTTTTCAAACACAAGAACTGTCAGACAAAAGGACAAAGACTAAAACGGGGAATTTCACTGTGATGTAGTTTCATGCAGTTTCATTCGTTTTCACTTCTGTACATTCATAATAGTATTTTGTGGATGTCTGTGAGTAGGAAAATTCAAGGGGTCATATTAGTCCCTCCGTTTCCAAACTGTGATAGTCATTTTTTAGATGTGCTTCATGCTTAAAAAGAACTGTGTAAGAAGTAGTTAATGAATTACCCTGTACGGTGGTAGAAAGAAACTGTAGGTTACTAATCTTTCAAAGCAAATGTGGCTTTCCTTGTGTCCAATAGTAAGGGTAACACCCAGTATTACCCCTCCAGGAGTGCTCCAAAGGCTCACCTAACTCCGAGAATAGTACTACTGATTGTACTCTCCCCTGGATGAGCTCAGGCACCCATCGTCCCTCCCTCTCCCCTCTCCCTGCACCCTGCAGTCACTAACTGTATGTTCTGCACAACTGGCTGCCCATCAGCACATGCAGCAGGCTTGAGAAGCTGAAAGAGTCTAAAGGCTTTTCCTTCCCAGTCTTTACCCATAGTAACTTTGATAGTATTCATTCCAGTTCAGAGAGATCAGCTGAGCTTACAGGACCTTTGCTTTTAAAGTTAAAAGTTGCATTGGTTGAGACTTAATGCATGAAATTAAAACTGAAATTTGCTTTGATGAAAACAAGCAGCCTTGTGCTGTAGATAGAAAATACTGTACAATATGCTTGACTGAGTTGACGTGCAGTGCATTTGGAAATAATGATTTTTCATTTGAATCTTTCTATGTAAAATACCGTATCTTGCTTTCCTCTGAAACATTAAAAAACAACAACCCACAGACCTTATTTAAAAAGAATCATTTTGCTTCTAGCACTCCAACACAGTGAGGTACAGAAATGCACAGAGAGAAGACAGTGAGATAAAGATGATCCAAGAGAAAAAAGAACAAGCTGAAATGAAAAGGTATTTAAAAATCAAAAGTCTGAGTGCACACTTTTCTGTATTAAGTATTCTCTGTATGAAGTAAAAAGTATTGAGATGATCATGATGAAAAAAGAATGAAGTGTAAGGGATATTTTTGCCAAGTATAATGTATATCACTTAAGAATTTACATTCTGTCTTTGAAAAGGAAAGTCCAAGAGGAGGAGCTGCGAGAGAATCATCCATATTTTGATAAACCACTTTTCATAGTTGGTCGTGAGCACAGGTTCAGGAATTTCTGCCGAGTGGTGGTACGAGCTCGCTTTAACGCGTAAGTTTATTCCATGTCAACAATTGGTTCAGACAAGTGTTTACTTTCATGTCCTCAAAAATCTAGGTCTAACTTTTATTTTGAAAGGGAAACTGCATATAATGTGGTCACGACATGAGCTGGCAGTCAGTTGCCTGTGGTATAGTCTTGCTGTTAGAGGAAAGGAAGCAATAAAATGCTGTGTAAGGGCAGACAAGTTTGCAGAGTCTGCGATGCTGAGATGGGACAAGACTGTGAGGAAACTGCAGGCATGAAGTGAGAGGAAAGGGTAATGGTTTATGTTCTCTGTGCCCTTCAGCAAATTATTTCTAGGTAGAACAACAGGAAGGTTAGATACCTGGTTTTACAATATTGGTATTTAAGTGTTCTGCCACCTATGTAGAAGTACATCCTTGAGATAGGTGCCTACTTTTCGATGCAACTGATAACTTGATTGTGGTTCGCTGGTCCATGAAGCAGTTGTGAATTAAAACATCAAAACAAAACACACAAACTTGCATTCACATCCAGTTTCCAAATACATGTCAGTGCCTGTTAGCATTGTGAAGTGCCCAAGGGTAACAGGATATTTATATTAAAAACAGTTTAATTAAAATATTTGCCATTATAAGAGTAAACTGATTTTGTTAAACAGTCTGTTTTTCATTTATTTAAAACCTACCTACTTTATTCATTGTCCCACCCAGGTTGCCAAGTAAGATATTCTAGAGATCTTTTTCAAACTGATAGGATACATATTTTCTTCTAGTAAAAAAGGCTGAGGAATGCCAATCTATACAATGCAGGGAAGAGGTATGAGCTTAAGAAGAGACAAAAGTCACTGGGTTCAGTGGGAAGGCACCAAAACCAGTATATTCTGTATACTGACTGGTGTAAGGCGGTGAACCTGGCCTGTGGAAGATACCTCTTGTTTTCCTGGTACACATCTTGCGTTCTTGTAATTCATAACATGAAATCTCTTCTGGTGGTAATGCCTCAAGGCAAGTCAGTCCATTTTTCACTTTAAGCTCAGCGAGGAAGTGATGGCAATTTCACATCCCAATGGCTAGAGCCCTCACATGGGGTGTGGGATACCTCAGTGCAAATCCTATCTTGGCACCATTTGCTACAAAGATTTGAAAGATATGTAAAAAGTGTCCCTAACCACTGGGGCAAGGGAGGCTTCTTGGATGGGATTCTTGTAGTTTCTCCAGTTGAAACCATTCTACTTTGCATAAAGAGGCTAAATAATTGCTGGAGCAGGAACTTAACTCACGTCACCTAGATACACTGTTGTTACTTACAGAGTGGTTCTCACTCTCTCTGACTGCCTAATGGGTGTTTGGATATGATAGGCGAAGCACAGCGATCTCACATGAAATTCAGATGTGGAGAACCTAGAAATATTAATCAGAAATGTTTGAATGAGTCATAAAAGACATAGGGCTTGTGGAAGGATCTTTTTTGTGTCAACTGAGGATATGGTCCAAGAGGTTTTGTAGAAAGAACTCAAGGAAGCACTTTAGAACATAAAATTCCATAGCAGGTTATTCTCCCCTCTCCCCACTCACCACCAGCAAGCCCTTGTTTACAAAAACAACATCCAAAAAACTGGCAGTTTAAAGAATTGTTAGAGAAATTACAGGTAGGCCATGAATTACAGTGATACCAGCGGTGTTGATAATCTCACTAAAATTGCATAAAATTAAATGAAACTGAGACATTTCAAATTAAGCCAAGATAAAATGTAGCCTTGATTTTGGATGTAAATTACTTTGAGGTGATGGATGCATGCTGTAATTATAATATTGACTAAAATAAAATGTAAATGACTATATCTTTTCTTCTTTTTATAGTTCTAAAACAGATCCTGTTACTGGAGCTGTGAAAAATACCAAATACCATCAGCTTTAGTAAGCACTGCAAAAGTAACTTTGCTTGGTCATATAAGCCTGCAGTATAAGTGTGTGAGTGCACATGTGTGTATGTGTGCATGCACATGTATTTCTTTTTTTTTCCCCAAAAAGGTTTTTCTTTCCATGGAGTTGTTTGGGGAGGAGGATGAATAGGATGAGGATTTTTTTACCAGACTTTCCTTCTTCACTTGCATGTAATTTCTGTAGTTTTACTACACATTTCTGAAATACTGAAATCTTTGACACTCTGCAGCTTAATTTATTTTTTGTAGGGAAGGGCTTAACTGTGGTGTAGACACAATACAAGGGACAGAGCACTCTTGGAATTTCTGTAATGGTTATCCTTATGTATTGTTCACAGTGACTTGCTGGGTTTGGTTACTTACCTGGACTGGGTCATGATCATTGTTACTATATGCTCCTGCATTTCCATGATGTTTGAATCCCCCTTTAGAAGAGTTATGCATGCTCCAACACTCCAGGTACTGCCAGTGAATCATTTTACATTTAATGAAGCACAGACAACTTGTTTTTCTCCACTGCCTATTCCTAAACTATGTCTGTTTTCTGCTCTGCTTTTGAATTTCAGATTGCTGAATATGTTTTTGTAATATTCATGAGCATTGAGCTTAATCTGAAGATTATGGCAGATGGCTTGTTTTTTACACCAACAGCTGTTATTAGGGACTTTGGAGGAGTTATGGACATATTTATATATCTTGTAAGTTTTTATATTCATGGGAGGTTTTTGTAGCATTCTTAATTTTCATATCTTTGGATATATAAATGTTTGGTAATGTTAAAAAGTTTGGCTCTGCACTCTGGTGCAAATCCAGTAGTATAATACGTGTACAAACACTACTGTTCTCATGTGCAGGCCTGTCAGGTATGTGTACAAATATTTGCTTAGACATTTAAAAATTACACACTGACATTTGATAAGTGCCTGGCAACTTTGTGTGTGTTTTACATTCTGTAGTCCCTTTTAAGTGTTTATTTGTGGATCTCTTTTAAGTATCAGATGTCATTTCATTCCAAAGTAAGCTCGAGATCTCTGACTTTGTTTCAACATTTTTATGCAGAATCGTTATTTTATCTATCTCTTAGCCATTCATTGATTTTTCCCCTCTTGACAGTTCTCCTCCTTTATAAAAGGTGTTTTAAAAGCCTCTGCCATTTGACAGAAGGGCACATCCTTGTTGCTTGTGTTGCTATAGCAGAAAGAAAGCAAAGCAGCATCTTTCTATATTCCATACCTATCAGTAGTGGTTCTCAGGGAAAAATTGTTCTACAGTTTTCTTTGTACCCCGGAAATTTCTTGCATTCCATTCAAATACAAGAGAAGGGGGCCCATTTCCTCTTCACATATGACAATAAACACCACAAAATGTGTCAAAACCAGTGCTCAGTATCATACAGTATGAAATATTTTCTAACTGAAGAAATTACTAAGCAAAATTGCTTTGATGGATTTAGATTAAATCTTTCAGAGATTAATCCACCAGACAGATGTGCTGCATAAAATTTGTCAAGATCAATTTGTATCAAAGATTCCTTTGTTAGCATAAATAAAAATACACATACTTATACAAAACTGCTACTGTAGTATGCATAGTCGGTATGTGCATTAGTTTCTTGAAATCCTTCTGAAACCCTCTGCTTGTCTGAAGGAAAATTTAGGTGGTGTAGCTTGGATATTCCAAATATGCCTGTGGTGGTCTTAAAAGAATATGAAAGAAAGTCTGAAGCACTGGGAAATCTTTTTGTTTTGGTGGGGCGGCTGTTTTTTACCACTGCTGTTTTTAACAAATAGTATTATGTTTTAAATCATATTGGTGATATCAACTTGATCCTCCATTTTTTGTGCACTTACCTCTTTGTAACACTCTCACCTCTGTCCCCCTACAATAACATTGGCTTTATAAACACTTTTTAAAAAATAAGAAGTAATTAACAGCCTTTATAAGCAGTAGCCATCTGTCAGAGATTGTTCAGGCTACAAAACACTACTATGCTGCTTGAAAACACTTTCGAACTTCTAATATTCGTGTAATAAAACCACATGATGACAAAACTAGTTATGCCTGTAACAAAGTGGAAGGAAAAACTGTCAAGGAACCTGCTAACAGACTTTTCAGGTAAGGATATCTAGTTTCAGGATAGAATCTCGGTTTGAAATGAGAAGTGGGGAGAGATATGATGCTGCCTGCTCCAAGAGTATAGTTTGTGTTCCTGCTCTGAATCAGCCAGTTTGATTTCTTCTTTTGGAACTGTTCCATCTGCTGAAAAGAATGGAAGAGATTTTGAGTCAAAGGGAAAGGAAGGCAGAGGCTGAAGCTGATGCCCATTAGTTATGTCAGTCAGCCAGGGCACAGGAGATCCAAGTCCTTTTTTTTAAATTAGGCTTTTATTGCCTTAGTTTTTCCTTCAATTTCAAGGAAGATAAGTGCTTATTTATATATGTAGCACTCCTTCTGTGCTGTGTCTATGTCAAGTAAGACATTGTAAGCCTAATCCTTCTTTGCCTTTTTCTGCTCTGCCTCCTCAAGGTAAGCTTGATATTCCTTTGCTGGATGCCTCAGAATGTCCCTGCCAAATCTGGAGCTCAGCTCTTAATGGTACTCCGCTGCCTCCGACCTCTTCGAATTTTCAAACTGGTTCCTCAGATGAGGAAGGTGGTGCGAGAGCTGTTTAGTGGCTTTAAGGAAATCTTTTTGGTATGTGCCGATTATTTTGTTCTTGTTGTTAAAAAGAAGATATGGAGGGGAAATAAGATACCATTTTACTATAAGGTTTATGTTTTCTAATCTTTTCTCCATTGTTTGTTTACTTTTCATTGTAGCTAGCTAGCACTGCAGTTGACCCCAGGACAGGTTAAAAATTTGGGGTATAAGTAACTCATTTACATTTATACTGAATAAAGCTGCTGTAATAATTATTTTATAAATTGTGTTATGCATTCAGTATATATTTGGCCATAATTACATAGGAGGACTACTGAAATGAAATCTACCTCTTATTCACGGTTCTATTTGGGGAAAGAAGATGAGAAGCAGGGTATGGCAGCTCTGCAAGAACAAAAGTAAACCTGGTTTCTGAGTTTTTTAAGAAGCAATGTAGTAGTTCATCGCAGATCTGGATCTCATTGTTATGTCATTGTTGCTATTATTATAGTCATGATTATGCTGTTATAGTAGTAATAATAAAATAATAATAATAGATTCTGTGATTGCTTGTTCAAAACCTAATCTGTTGTCTTGGGACCCAGCTTTCCCTAAGTGTCAGCCTAAACAACAGGCGTTTTATTCCTGATCAGAATACTGTATTAGGTCAGGTTGTTATAAAAAGCTAAGCTACAAAATATTTGCAGACAGTAATAGAACAAGGACAAAAAGTATGAAGCTAGTTAGCATTTCATAGATACTGTATCCTGTTAAAGATATTTACATCGTAATTTGCTCATGCCTATCTTTATTGTAGCTGTTCTGGATCTAAATATCTAACAATGGCTTATTCAGATTAATTAGTAAAGCCTGATTCAGCAAAACAGAAGCAGCACATATTTAAGTACTTGAAGAGTTCTCTTTAAAATGAATGGCAATTCTTATACATGCAGAATTTAGCAAGGTTATACACTGAGCGCCAAGAAGCTTTGATCCTTATCTAGAATTCTTAGATGCTATGTTAATAATAATAATAATATTAATAATAACACAGCACCTGGTTACTGGATCAGAACCTAAAGTAACGTGTCAGTCATGAAAGCCTTATCTCCAGGCGTATGCAACAAAATTCTCCCTGCACTTCATGGAAGGATCTGACCCCCTTTCTCAAGTCTGCAGGAGGAGGGCTTGACAAGTCTAACTTCATCTTTACAGGTTTCTATTCTTTTGCTGACATTAATGCTTGTTTTCGCAAGCTTTGGAGTGCAGCTGTTTGCTGGAAAACTGGCTAAATGCAATGATCCACACATCATCTCCAGGGTAAGAACCACTTTCCTGCATCAAAGTAATGGTATGCTGTGCCATTTCTGCCTGCTAGGGAAAGCAAGTGGGGCAGATCTACCAACTGAGAGATGGAGGTCTTGGTCACTTTCTTGTTGAGAAGCAGGATGATGGAGGGAATGGTGATAAGGGACTGAGGAAGTGAGGGCAAGTCCAAATATTTGGGACTGTCTGAAGAAGCTGTAAAATTCATGCTGGATTACCTACAAAGGACTGGATGTCACATGGAGTTAACCATGGAATATACCTTTGCATTCCTAGGTCATCAGCTAAAAAACAGGTTAGGCTGCTAAAGGTCCTTAACACTGGGAATTCTGTGTAGGTTACAGAAAGAAAGCTAATGGTGTTTCCTACTCCATTTGGAGAAACGTCATTAAAAAGGGAGCAGTGGTCTTTAGGAAAGACGTGAAAGGTCTTGCAAAATGAAAAGCACTCTCAGTCCTGGAAGGAGAATGGTTTTTTGAATATTTCCTAAGATGCATTTTTGCTTTGAGTAAAGGTCCATGACTGTTAATTCCATACCTGTAAATAACTCTTAATTTCTGCTTACATTGCTTGCCCATCATGGCAAGTGTGCTGTCTATATTGGCATTTTGGCATCTCTCCCAGGCCATTATTTAATCTCAGGCTGTGATTTATTTCACTATAGGAAGATTGTCATGGCATCTTCAGAATAAATGTAAGTGTTTCCAAAAATCTCAATTTAAAGCTAAGACCTGGAGAGAAGAAACCTGGATTTTGGGTGCCACGTGTCTGGTGAGTTGCTACATATTGGCCTATCTTTCTTCAGAAACTCAGCTGTTGGTGTAGAGCATAACTCCAATCCCATGACATTAAACTACTGATGGAAGGTTTTTATTGTAAGTCAGATGATATTTAGGGTAAAAATACTGGTATATTTAGTAAAAAGACAGATTTGTGACACTTTTCCAGTCTTAACATGCTGTTCTGTTCATAAAGCAGAAAGGAAAAATATACCAGGATGTACTGAACCTAGTTAGGAATTAGACTTGATTATTATTACAGTGGGATTTATTGGCTTGAACTAAGATTATCACTTAACTGTGCTTTAGTACTGTTATGAAAACATACCGAGAGCCATACCTCAACACGATAAACTAAGAATAAATAGGAAAAGAGGGGAAGAAAAAGAAATAGAAATCAACCTGCCTACAGCTACCCACAAAAAAACAATGAGCAAATCATGCCTAGAACCAGCCTTTTTCTTGTATGGCCGTCAACCTTGCCAGCTACTAGCTTCTTCCTGTTTCCCATGCAAGGAATCCTTGTGGTCCATCTGGTGCAACAGTACAGTAAAAAATTATTTAAGAGCTAACATTATGTTTATTAGTAGTATTCTGATAAAGTCCATTTAATATTTCCCAGCACCTGAACAGGCAAAAGAACCTCTCTTTAATTGTTTACATTTTTAAGTTGGTTCACATCTTGCAAAATCAGCTAAACAGCCACAATTATTTTAATTGACATGTGCGTGGATAAAGGATGTACCAGAAGTGGTAGATTCAGTGCCATCCTACACTAATGAAATAATATACTGTGATTTGAACAGTCAGTGAAACTCTGACATCTGCAGAAGTCTTTGATTCTGTATGCTTCAGACAAATTCTTCCTTGAGTAAGCAAATTCAGTCCTCTTCAGCTTGATCCAGAAATAAGCAAAAACTGTCCTAATCAGCATAACTGTAAACTTTGGGGAATGTTTTGTTATTGTAGGAAAATGTTTTACCGCAAGGACATTTATACCACCTGTTGGCTGTGTCAGGCCAGATTTTCAAGAGACAGATGTCAGTATAAGGAGCATGCTTAAATAGCTACATCTGAGAGCTTGCTTTTTCACTGAATGGTTGGATTTTCAGAAGCACCAAACACTTAACAATTCTTCTGGAATACAGCTATTTTTTTTATAAATTCTTGAACATTCCTTGGGGTCCTTGGATTATGTCTCAAAGCGTAGAGGCAGAGCAATGTGCTAACCCAGCCCAAAGAGGGTATTTTTAATGTTCAGCTGGAAACATCCTCTTGAATCTCAACTGATACAAAAGGTCAGAGCATAAGGTATAGGAGAGCCAACAAGATGGTGATGTCTTCTCAGTAAGTTTTTATTTAGGCTACCAGTTCTTGATGATAATGAAATAAGGAAAAACATTTTCTAAACTATCTCACTGACTTTGGAGTCTGAATAATTTATGTGGATTTGAGACTGGTCTCCTTCAGGCAAATTTATTTTAGAATCTGGCCAATGCCATCAGATCCATTTTTTCATGAATGCTGTATTTTGCTAATTTCACTCACAAAAACACTAAAATGCAGCAACGTGTCATAAGCTTCCGTGCTGTGAGTCAGATTCTGAGTAACAGAACATACATAGGAGCAAGAAAAATTATGCTGTACATATTTATTGCTATTGCTATTGTTTTGTTATTCTTGAGACAGAACTTTGAATGATATGTTTCAGAGGCTTTCACACCAACTTGGAAAGATATTTAAATGTCAGTTAGACTATGAAGAATCAAGGTAACAATTAGAAAGAACTTTATTGCTTAAGTTACACCTATTTGTGTCCTGCATTTCAGGGCAAATCCTCGGAATTTTAATTTTGACAATGTGGGGAATGCAATGCTAGCACTATTCGAAGTTCTTTCATTAAAAGGCTGGGTGGAAGTCCGAGATGTTATTATTCATCGCGTTGGGCCGGTAAGGAAACACATCAGAGTCTTTGAATTCTACAACACATACTTTGATTTGTTTTAGTGATTAGTCTTATTTTTGTCTATTCAGATCCATGGAATCTACATTCATGTTTTTGTATTCCTTGGCTGCATGATTGGACTGACACTTTTTGTTGGAGTTGTCATCGCCAATTTCAATGAAAACAAGGTACTAAGCAAAGTAGTTTATCATGTGTAGAACTGGCTCTGTAAGAAACCTCAAATTGATATTACAACGTCTGCACTGCCTAGTAAGACTGCCTTTTATAGTTTTATACTGACTTCCCAATCTTACATTCTACAAGCCTGCAAGTATGGCTTCAGATGCACCTGATTCATATTTGCTAAAAAACTCAAGCCTGACATAATAGCAATCCATCACATGCTCTTTTAAAGTTGTCTGAGTTTATTTATAATGCAGCCATGTTGCAAGATGGAGATTGAACCTAAGGCACAATGTATTTACAGATGCTTCACATTCTGCTGTTTTAGTTTGATGCAGGCCTACATGCAGTGGCAGGTAGAAAGACGTGTTATGCTTGTATGTGTTATGACTAAGGGGTCTCATTAGAGCCCTGGAATTACAGTATTTCAGATTCAAACTAAAGATGGATGGCTTTTTTCCTGGCAAACAGCAGAGTACATTGTAAAATTAATTGTCCATCATTCAAACAAAAAAGTAGCTAGTGTTCTGGGAAAAAACTGCAGTTCACATGGGCTTTGCGGATTACCCTGAAAAGTAGAAAAACTTGTCCCCAGGTGAATTGTTACAGAGCAGCTCATCTCTACGCTGCTTAAAGATAGCATCCTCTGGGTGGGACTGCAGCACACACACTGCCCAGCCCTTGCTCTGACTTTTTTTTCTGAGCCTCCTGTGGTGCCCCTCTGGCACCAAGACGTAATTATTCATTTTTATCATCCTTCAGTTCAAAGTGCCCCAAAATAATAAGATATCTGTATTGCAGCTAGCTAGAGTGATATTTTTATCATTCATGGCACTGGAGGGACAGAATGATTGTGGGCTCTGGGGCCTGGGGATGCAAGACAGCCCAGTGTGTTGGTGCTGGAGACAAACTGGGTGCCGGCAAGGACCCTACTATGGCCCTGGTCCAAACCCTGTAGGAAACACAACTGTTGAGTTTGCCCTTCAAGAAAGGCACTTGGCTCCTCCTGGAAGGGAGCTGGGCCACACAATACCGTGTGTCTAGTGTGGGCAAGGAAGGCATCATGAAATTTAGTCAAACAGGGTGTAAGCCAAATAAATAGCCTAAACCCCTGCCACTGAGAAGGTATTTTTATACTTGCATGGTTCCGGTGTAATTTTGGTGAGATGAAGTGCAGTCATTCTCTGTTCTGGAGAAGAAGGAGGAATGTGCTATTCATTTATTTTCTTATTCACTAAATTTTGAATAGGGAATTAACAAAGTTGAGACTTCTCCAGTGTGAAAATCCCAATGGATTTTCATAGATGTTTTGCCCCTTCCTGTTCAGCTGTGTAACGTTACTTTTCTTTCAAATGCTTCAGCATTACACTAATGAGTAAAAAATATTTTTCAGCAAGTCTTGAAAAAAAAATTAAGTAATTTTATTTAAAATACAGGTCATTAAAATATTGTCTGAAATACTAAAATTATTTTAATGTTTTTCTTTTATAGCTATGATGTATTTAGCTATGTATGTTTCTGTCATGTATGTCATAGTTCATGAAACTCTATTCAGATGTTAGCTGAACATTTCTATCATGTAAATCGTTTCTTCATTACCCTTTACACTTTCTACACAGGTCAGTTTCTTCAAAAACCTTTTCATAGGCTTGAGTATAAGTGAGAGGAAAAACTATCACATTTTGGGGTTTGCTTTTAAAAAGCTTTTGATCATGGTTGATCAAACATGTTTCCTTTACCCTGTTGAGATGTGGGGCATGTGATGTTGAGGAGTGAGGAAGCAGTGTGTTTCCCTTTTACTTTTGCATGTGGTCTTGAATGTATCTTGACGAATTCTGAGACAGCTCTTTGGGCAGTGGAGAATCGTCAGGAGCCACTTGCTGCTCTGGGTTGCCTTGCTGCACCTACAGGTGTCTACTTTTGGCCATTGTCATAGAAAAAAGGTACTGGAGGAGCTGGATTTTGACCCTTACTGATATGAACTTTACTGTGCTTTTGTGACAATAGGCCCAGGCGCTGTCAATCTCCTAGCCAGTGTTTTCACTCTTAGTTCCCTCTCTTTCCGTAGGAGTCACCCAAAAGTTCAAGTTACTGTGTCAGCCTGTTGCCAGCAAAGGCAGTCTGTGAGATTTCTTTCACAAATTAGTGAGATGTCATTAACTCATAATACAGTATTCATCTGTGTAGTCAACCATTGACTATGGAATAAGGTGATCTGGGCCAACCCATAGGTTACTTTTGAAGTGATTTATCCACAATATCAGTGCAAAACTTTCACCAGTTTTTTGGCTTTTTTTTTTTTTTAATGTTTGAGATGTGAACATGAACCAGGGAAAAAAGCCCTTAATTATATGTGACCACATATCACATTCATATTTCATTCCCTCCTCCTAGATATGCAGCTTTGAAGACACAGGCCAGCTCAAACTCATGTGGAAATGGAAAGTTTTGTTTATGTTCACTGTGATTCAAAACAAGAGGGAACAGGAACGTGTGAACATGAGGCTTATAAACATTGTGGTTGCAGGAGATAATTAAACAATTCATCATAGCCCAGATTGCCCCTGAGTGAGCTGCCAGCATACATGTGTAAGTCTGAGGTGTAGGGCCTGAATTAGAATTCCCATTATTATCTGATTTTTACATTTATCATTCTGAGGTGGTTTTCTCTGCTTGTATGTGTTCCTCAAGCTACAGGCACTCTTTCAGATATGAATGCTCTCCTCCCTCAATTCCATATCTGAATACAGAGAAAGGATTATTCTGAACATTAGAAAAGCTACTCACTAGTAGCAGTTCCCTGTAAATTACACTGAACAGGGAAATAATGCAATATTTCCGTAGAATTTGCATGATACCAAAAATGCAGCAAGTATAAATCATTTGTGGGTAATGTCATCTGGTTCTGCTTCTCCAGTTTTTTCTTAGTAACCTCAGGTAGCTGCTGTGGCATGTAATGTTTGCTTTTCTCTCTTTTTTCCTGAAGGCCTGTTACTTTTTGTGTATTTATGATAGGAAAAAGAAAACTTCTTCAGATTTGAGTTGAAACAATTAATATATTAAATATGTAGTGGGGGAAAAAATCTCATCACAATCAACATTCAAGTAGAGTGAAGAAATGTCCAGGTACTAAAAAAAAAAGTGAAGGTAGACAGAAGGCTGGCAATTAGTCCAGAAAGAAGAGAGCAAAACAGTCCACCATGTGAAGTTAAGTTGCATCTTCTTAAAATTGACCAAGCTATTGGTGTTTTAAGTAGTTGTTGGCTTTAGAAAGTTCGTGGCTGATACATGTTTACAGTAGTGTCAGGCACTGGTGAGGAGGGTCAGAGTCAGACAGTTACTGAATGAACTATTTTACATGAGAACAAACAATTTTCTAAACAAAGAAAAAAGTATTTTCAGATATGCTGTAGCATTTCATGTGAGCTGTCAGAGCTGCACGCCTGGAGAGACTGGACTGGGAAGTAGCACAGGGGGCTCTGGGCTGGGTCCTCCACTGTCCCAGCAACAGGGCAGTTGCCCAAAGCGTCCCACTACCCCCTGTTTCACAACCCCTGCACATCACTTGTCGCAAGTCCCAAGTGCCGCGTGTTGAGTTGGCAGTGAAGACATGATTGACTCAAAGATTATCTGTCAGTTTTGAGCTGAAGCCCAAATGCAAGTGCAGCTCCTCCAGCAGCAGTCCCACTCGCAAAGCTCTGCTCTGTGGTCCCCATATAATGATCCCATTGGTAGAAGTGGTAGTTTCTGATGAACAAAATGACTTGGCATAATTTGTAAATTTTCCAAAGGTCCGCTTTTTTTGCCACCTTTTGTCTTCTTTGCAGTGAGAGCTCTCCAGGAGTATAAAACAGACACACTCATTTGGTTGCCTTTTAATCTAAGCATTTCTAAACAGTATGGTCGGGCCTGACATGAGTAATAGGCATCCTTGTATCTGCTGCTTTGTCCACATCGTGTTGGAAGGCACTCCTCCCAGGGTTCCATTGGGGGATGCAGCTCCATGAAGAGATTATGTCCACTGAGAAGGAGCTCTCCTGGCCTTATCAGTCACATAGCCAGCCACAGTTCCAGCACCTACACAAGCCCATGCCGAGAAGAGCCCCAAAGATCGCAGCAGCCCTTGCTCAGCTCAGTGCAGCTTGGTGCCAACTGTGGGAGCAGCCAAGTGTCTGGGAGACAGGCTTGTGACATTTACCTTGGAAAGGTCTCCCTTGTTTTTATAGCTCCAGATTCCTTCCATGAGATTTTACAGTTCTCTGAAGTGATGAGGATCTAATTTTGTTTTGAAGGTCATTTTAAATAATGTTGAATTCTGTTTGGGGTTTGCTTGTTTCTTCCTATGTTATGAAAACACTTACACATATTACTGTCTACCACCGTCTGCTCTAAAGGTGTATCTCCGCCTCTCCTTGTGCTTCCGCTGTGGAGAGCTCTTATAGATTCATAGCATGCTATTATTGTATTTCAAGTACACCCCAAGCAGAAGAGCTGTGGAGAGCGGCAGTAGTCTCCTAGAGGGCTCGTTCCCCGAGAAAGTGTAGCGGCACTGACAAGCCGCAGGATTTTCTGCAGCAAAGTCGAGACAAAATCGACCACTCTTCAAAATGGTGCTTCCTGGCAAATGATGTTCAGTCAAATGGAAGACCTCCTGCAGTGTTTCACTGCCCACGCTGGGCTGCTGCTACAAAGAGCAACAACTGTGCCTGCTGAGTTGAGTCCCAGAAACTCACAGCTAATGCATCCAGAAATCCTCTTGAGTACAGGCTGGTACTTTTACTCCGTTACCCAAACAGTGTGTTATTTAAGGAGAGTTGCGTATGTAACTTTATTTCAGACACCAAAGAGAATGTTTCTTTCATGTTTGCAGCATTAAATGTTGTAGCTTTTATATGACAAAAGCTTTATACGCTTCTCATTGTTTATTAAGGGAACAGCTTTACTGACTGTAGATCAGAGACGATGGGAAGATCTGAAAAGCAGACTGAAGATAGCACAGCCTCTTCATCTCCCACCTCGTCCGGGTATCAAAGATATTTTGATTTTATTCATGTTGAGCCCTGGTGTTCATAATTCCCCAGGAGTCTGCGATTCAAATTAAAATTGTAATCTTGAGGCCACTAGGAGGTTGTGCATAAGTTAATGTGGAAACAGGCTCCAACTACAGATCTCTGCATAAGACTATTAAAATCAACCCCAAAAAGGTTGTGCTTCGATGGGTTTAGGATAAGCCTTAATGAAAAAATGGATTTCTAAATGAAAAATATTTGCAGTTGGCTGTTAATGATATGACTGGAATGTATTAACCTGACAGCAGTTAGATGATGCACTTGCCCTACAAGTACCAGAGCGTTCATGCAATACTGGTGTTCAGTGTTTGAAATTATATGTTCAGAAGCCCTGTTTGATACGGAAAATTGTAGCAGAAGATTAGAAATGTATTTTGAAACTGGTAAAGGATTTTTTTTTGCCACTAATGAACATGGAAAATATGTCAAGAAATAGGGGGAAAATACCATTGTGTATTTTAACTCTCCTCCTCAAACTCTTTCTTTTTCAGATAATGATGGCTTTAGAGCTAAGATGTATGATATAACTCAGCATCCATTTTTTAAGAGAACTATTGCTGTACTTGTTCTGGCCCAGTCTGTGTTGTTATCAGTTAAGGTAATTGTGTTTCTTTTAAGTATTTCATTATAGTAGTACCGCATGTGTTGCACATTTCCTAACACCAATTAACAATCAGTTGAGCCATTACTGTGATGAATGTATTTTTTTTTCTAGATATAGCAATCTCGGTTGGCACAGATCACTGTAGATTAATTGTAACTTGTGGAGCTGAGTAAATTTCTGCCTTTTTGTAGTCTGTTCCACTATTTTTCATTTCCAGTTAGCTGCAAGTCTGTGAAAAAAGAATACACTGAGATGCCATTCCTGTCTGAATATATTTTAAATTGAAATCTATTCATTAACAAAACCTGCAAGAAAAGTTAAGCTAATTAATAGATATTGAGTTTTGTTTAACAGCTACTCTTCTATGAGCAGATTTTGTTTGCATTTCAGTGGGATGCTGCAGATCCAGTGACTGTGCCCTTAGCAACAATGTCCGTTGTTTTCACCTTCATTTTTGTCCTTGAGGTAAAGTAATATATTTTATGACTTCTTGAGATTAAGACTAGTATGCATATATGTCATTTTGGCTTTAGGGATGTTGTCTCATTCTTCGCTACAGTTTTTATTCCTGAACATGTGCATTTGGAGCTCTTCAAGTCACTTGTCTTTAGATATGTATTGTAGGAATAAAATTTTAATTTATTGCAGTCATACTTCACCACCTTCAGCTTTGTGTCCTTTTATATGTATTCAACTCTGAGTATTTCAACTTGTGTTTTGGTGAACCCAGTGAACTCTTTTCTTGCAGAACATCTTGGATTAAATTCACTCAGTACAACAAAAGGTCTGTGTGTTGTATCACAGAAGTTCTGCTCAATCCATTTATATTTTGCCTGGTTGTTCTGACCAGGGTGCATTAATCCCCACCATGTATCTGTGACATCATCAAGCCTCTCTGAGGTTTTTTTGGTGTTTTTTTTTAATTGTCATAACTTCATTTGAATACCTTTTAATAAGCTATATCAAATTCCAATATTATCTATCTATTGTTGTACAGATCTGGATGCCTGTGTGGTAAGGGTTCTGTATCTGTGAGAAAATTGTCGCCAGAATCAACTGTGCAGAGTGTAATTAGCCTGATTTCATAAGATTGGAATCAAAGGACTTAAACACTTTTTTTAAAGTGTATATTTTTTTTTAATGTGTAAGGATATCCATAGTGTAACAAAGCACACATTTATGAGGTTAAAAAAGATGCTTCCTCTGCAGTTAGTTAGTATTTAATTCATTTATAAGTTTGTAGTTGAGTATTTTCTTTTCAGTCCCCTCTGAATAGCTGATACTGACCACTATCAGAAACAGGATAGGAGACTACGTTTCCCACTGCTCTAATCCAATATGACAGTTCCTATGTTCCAGTGATAGGTTTTGCCAGCAGTGATGAATAAACAATGAAGTGGATACCTTGTAGCAGCTGTAGCTAGAGTGTGTCTGTGTCATTGCTTCTTTTCTCCCAACCCAGGAGAAATCGATATCTCTTGAGAGACTGAGCAAACACAGAAAAGTTTGATTTGTATCATACACAGACTGGTTTTAATTTACCTAGTAACTGTGCCTTTAGAAATACTTTTTTTCTCTTATACTGCCAGGGGAAACAAATACACTTCTAGAATTTCAAAGGAACTTTGTCAGAGCCAAGAAAAATTTGTTGGCTGTCCCAACAGGCAGGTTATCACACTGTAAGTGCACACGATTTATGGACAGAAAAAGCAGCTTCCTGCCAGGATCTTCCCTAACGCAGCATAGTCTGGTTACAGAGTCTGCTATGTACATGGTCTGCTAGCCCTAGTGGACATGGTCCATGAGAAAGGCCAAAGCTTTCTGCATAGCTAATGGCCCTGTGTCCAGTCTACCTCTGTATCTGTTAGCTATTGTGACTATTTCTTGTCAGTATCTATTCTTAAGCTTCCTGCCTGCACTCCTGTTACCTGTATTGGAAATGTCAAGCACTTTGGCTGTTGTTTTTTTTTTTGCCAGGAACATTGTAAAATGTACTGCCTTTACTGTTCTTAGCTTTCTTCTCTTATATTCTACTGAGTACAGGTCGTGCTGAGTACAGATTATTCCTTAAAGCAAGAAATATTTGCAATATACGAATTCTTTTTAATTAATTTGAAATACGAGAACTACAGAACACAATTATATTCATGAGTTCAAATGTCCTTATGTGATTTTAGCCTGCCCATGGACAGGTAAATGGATAGGATCCTACTACCTCTTTTAGCTACATACTATATATATAATAATTTTCTAACTTCATAACTTGCTTGTCTATTACAAATCTCACATTCACCTCAGCAACATTAAGTGTTCAGTCTGAGGTGGTCAGCTGCACTCCTTCAATACCTGATGGAGAGAGACACTTCCAGATATTCATCCCCTCGTCTCAGTCATCTGTGGTCTTCCACAAGTACCAACTTTCCTCCATCTAAGGGAAGCTTCTATGATCCACTTAGTCTAGCAACCTAGCTTGTCCACATGGGAACAGTTAGCTGATGTGAAACCTGCCCTTGGTTTGAAAACATTCATAAGATGAACTCAGACAAACATTTTATAGGTTCTTATAGTAAGAAATAACAATTTATTCAGTACAACTGAGAATTTTTTTTTTATCCATAGGTCACAATGAAGATTATTGCCATGTCACCTTCTGGCTTCTGGCAAAGCAGAAGAAATCGGTATGATCTCTTGGTGACATCTCTTGGAGTTATATGGGTGATACTTCATTTCGCGTTACTGGTAAGATTTACAAAACACAATTTCAATGATTAAGCTTGATTTTAGTCTGCTAAGCACCAGCAGTAGGATGACTACTATACATCCAGATAAACCCTTGGGACTTCAATAAGGCTGAAATGTGGCTGAAACAAATAAGAAGCAATCCTTGTCTTGGGCAATGACGAATTACAAAAGTTGTCTGAAATGAGGTAGAGCCTGTAAATCTGGTAAAAATAGAAGTCTTTGGAAGGGATATGAGTGAGGAAAGGAAGGAACCTGAAGAGACTGAGAGCCCTTGCCAACAGCCATCTCATGAGCAGCAAGGAAGAAAGAGCCAATGCACAAAATCCAGATAAGAGCAGAGGACTGGAAGGAGGCATAGGTTCAAAATTCCTGCACAGTACAATTTGTCCCAAACCCAGTAGTGATTCTGGACCACTGGTTTTGATTAAGGGTCTATGTTTAGTCCAAGAAGGCATGGACGAGAGTGGAGGAAATCAGCTCTCCCTCCATCTCATCCTTTTTTTTTTTTCAAAGTTGGCTGCACCCCTTGTTCCCTTACTTATGTGGGAAGGAGAACAGATAGTTGATGCTTGTTACTAATCACAAGTTGTGGAAGTCACCACCCTAAAATGGCTGGGAGCTTCTCTCTTGTCTGCCCCAGGCTCTGTTTGGAGGAAAAACCTGTCTTGTGTGGCTAGTAATATTGCCATGACATCCACAGTTTGCTCCCTGCTGCTGAGTAGCTTGGAAAGCTGGTGGAGCTTCTGTAAGCCAGCAGCTGCCTAGACAAGTAGACTGGGGCTGCTGGACCTAATTACAGCCTCACTAATAGAGGACTGAAAGGTTTGGGTTTTTTTGTTTGATGTATGGGGAGGTTGGATTACTGTTTCTGAAGTGGTAGAGCATCTTCTGTTTCTTACTGCTCCACTGTTATTGAAATATTTGTGCTACTGGCTTATGATTTCTCTTACTTCACGTGACAACTGCCCTACATTATTAAAAGACCAATTATCCTGGTCTTTCCATGAGATCCCTGGAGGACAATGTATTAAGTCTTCTGTGTTTCTGTTCCAGAATGCATACACATACATGATGGGGGCATGCGTAATTGTCTTCAGGTTTTTCTCAATTTGTGGGAAGCATGTAAGTATAAATTAGGAACAACTATTGCAGTGCTCTTGTATAGATTAAAGGACTAGTTGCTGTGCACCTCTGGTGCACATTCTGTAAGGCTCCTTTTTATATGCAAAAAAAAGGAGACTTCAGGCAGCAGTCTCCAATTTTACATGCTGTCTTTAAAATGTCAGGATTTTAGGTACATTGTATAATAGCAATGTATTATGGTTATTGGAAAGGCTGCATCTTTTGCAGATTTTAAAAAAAAAAAAGTGCAACTGCAACACCACCGAGTTTTCTAAAAATGCTCTCTAAAACTCTGAACATACATTGTGATACTTTCAGTCCTGGCCATTTCAGTGTGGTGTGATGTGCATGCTATTTATTTATTTTCTCTGCAAGACTAGTGGGGGTGGTGGTTGATGCACTCATCTTGTTATGACAGTGCTCTCTTACAGAAGTTTCTTCCTCCAGAGTGCAGGTCTGTGTCTTGTGTCTCTACAATGTATGTCTTATCACAGTAAAGTTTTATGTTCAGTTTAAAAAAATATTGGGCCAAGATACTTGTCTGGAAACACTGAGAAGGTGACAAAGTCACTTCTAAAGTTTACATTTCTTTTGTATTTGGATTTGCTCTGGTGTAATTGAGAGCAGACTGGCAGAATAAGCATAGGCAGAGAACAAACACATTTGTTTAACAAGTGGTGTCACTCTGCCTTCACTTGCTGTAGAACTTTTTAGACTATCCAAACATTTTCTTTGAATTCTGACATATTAAAGTAAATGTGATAAAAGGACTGCTGTACTGGATTGCTGGGGTTAAGAACAGTAGGTCAGAGGGTTTTTTCAGTAAAGATAAGAAGTTTTCCTTCCATCAAACTACATAGAGCCTGTTGATCCTTGTAAGTCAAATGAAAAATCCTTGTGTCTGCTATGCAGCCAGGCCGAGTGATTGCCTTCAAAGCTTTCTGATTGATTCTAAAGTTTTCTTCAAGTTGTTAACCTACTCATTTGTGCTTTCATGTTAGGAGCAGCATCAGTTTCACTAATTCATCTGTTATTATGTAATGTGATGGGTAAAAGTCGGCATGAGCTATCATTTTGGCGTGATTCTAAAGAAATCTACTACCCTCAGTCCCATAAGAGAATTTTCCGTATCATCCAAAGTGGTTAAGGGTGTTACGGCAATCTAGGGCAATAACTTTATCAAGAGTAAAATGTACAATATGCATGCATGGGAAAGGAATATCTATTACTTAGGCCTACTGCCTGTGTAATTTCCAAAATTATGCTGTCTTCTTAAACTCTTTGGCCAACTTGCGTAAGAAATTAACTAGTTTAATCAAGCTGTGCTGATCTTCAGGAAATCCCCTTCTCTATACATTAACCCATTTCTTTAGGTAGTCTGCAGTATCTGTGGTTTCCACCTAACAGTTAGCATCACTTTCAGATAAGCCCAAAGTAGTGTACTGCACCCAGTTCATGCAATGCTAGTTTTGAAACTTCTGTAGCATACTAATCCTAGAATACTATAGTTAAGCTTATGCTGTATTATTGCTGCATTATCCTACACTGTGTTACCCTGTATATACTGTTTGAGCAGTAACATCTTGACCTTGTAAATTAGGTGGATATTCTGATGTCTTTAACAAGTAAAAAGCACACTAAATTTCAGAGGAAGACATAAAATGTTTGGTTCCAATCAGATTCATAATGTAACGTTTCACTGGGCTCATCCATTAACATGTATATGTAAAGAATTCGTTGTCAAAATGCCAAGTGCAATAACTGTCTTTTCCCTTTTATCTCTGCTTTCCTGAATGGTGTCACGGATTGCTTTTTCTCTGTCCTCACAGGTGACACTAAAAATGCTGCTCTTGACTGTGGTTGTCAGCATGTACAAGAGTTTCTTCATCATAGTGGGAATGTTCTTACTGCTGCTTTGTTATGCTTTTGCCGGGGTGGTTTTATTTGGTACAGTGAAATACGGAGAGAACATTAACAGGTACGATATGTACTACCTCATGGAGAAGTTCTTTAAACAGCTCAAAAAAATCGCATTCTGCTAGGGAGAAGTATCTGTGGTAAAAACCAGATGAGTTTCCAGGTCTAGAACTTCTGATAGGAGACACTGAGCCATCTTTCCAGTCTTTGTGCATTGAACCAAATTACACCCAGTACAGCCAAGAACAGGCTGAGAGCTGTTCTTCAATATGCCAGATGGAATATGCTTCAAAGCAGCACTGTGCTAGCTGCAGGCTTCTGAAACACAGTGTACCTACTATACTTTATCGGCATCACCCAGGATCCATATACCAGGCTGATACAGAGAGGGGACAGTTCTGTGAGCTGGCCATTAACTGGAGATTTCCCAGTCAATAGCATCATCAGGCTTCAGGAAGAAAATGGAGACAGGAGATAGAATTTGGGCCCGAGTCTGCTTTTGCTCTTTGATAAAATGAGCCAAAATACTCAGACCTGTGTCTGAGCTCAAGTTAGGTTATTTTATCTTAAGTCATGGAATGAATAATTCAGTGAGCTCATTCAAATAATACTGTAACTATTTTCAGTTCAAAATAGGTAGAACAGTAGAAGATGGAAATGGTTCACATTTTTTCTTGCCAACATTTTAGTTCTGGGACATGAAATGATCTCTCTCTCTTTTTTTGTTTAAACCAGACATGCAAATTTTTCATCGGCTGGCAAGGCTATTACTGTGCTCTTCAGAATAGTTACTGGAGAAGACTGGAACAAAATTATGCATGACTGCATGGTAAATACAATACTGACAGAGATAAATAGACAAGAAACAAGAGACACTCTTGCGTCTCAAAGTGTTTGCAGTATCTTAGCTTTGTACAAGGAATATTGTGATTGCCTTTGTCTCTTCAAGAGATACAATGTTTGCTGAACATGACACACAAATTGCAGTTCCAATCCCACAATCACAATGTAATATTCCATGGGGCTAGGCTATTACACAATTTAAAAACAAAAATAAAAATATATTTTCCAAATCAGAAGTGCAGTAACTCACTTTTCCACTGTTATCTCTGCTTTGACTGTGGCAAGGTGACTTTTCATATTAACTTTGTCTTTAATGCCTGCACTTTGGCTCATTCCGTGTGAACAGTTGTCTTAATGACCTCGAAATTTGTCTTTGAATAATTTTATTTTGCCCAAGTAAATTTCTGTCCCTGGTTTCCAGTATTGTACTGATTGCAGAAAAATTAAGAATCCTTTTTTACAATTAATGGACTTTGTTTTCTTTTGTTTTGAAGGTTCAGCCTCCGTTTTGTACACCAGATAACAGCACCTACTGGAAAACAGACTGTGGAAATTATGCTGGTGCACTTATGTATTTCTGCTCATTTTATGTCATCATTGCATATATCATGCTAAATTTGCTTGTTGGTAAGTGAAAAAAAAAATCACAATCAAAAGGTCCATCTTAGCATGCAGTATGTTAGATTTGAGTCTGTTGTGGTATCCGGGTATGAGGTTACCTTGTACCTTCACTGTTCCCTATATATACATATGATCTTTTTGATACTTTTGAACAAAAAGATGTGTTGTATTTGTAGAGTATAGTTAGCCTAAGGAATATTATTTTCTGAGCTTTTCCTTCCTCCAGTTAACATTTTTCCATCATTGTTGGAATTCTCCTGATTAATTTTAGAATATGTTAGATTAAGTATCTCACCAGCATTTAAGACACAGCTTTTAAAAAGTGAGCACAGTGAATATTGATGTAGCATGACAGTATATTACCTGTTCAAAATTCTCATCTGAACGTACAGCTAAAGGCACTTATTAGTGTGAAGTTTGCACAACAGAATTCTTATTCTGTTCAAAATCATTGTTACTTATAGAGATTAACCAGTTAGAATGTAACTACAGGCTTTCTTTATAGTGTATTTTGGTTTTGTGGTTTTCAGCTATCATTGTGGAGAATTTCTCATTGTTTTATTCAACCGAAGAAGACCAACTTTTAAGTTATAATGATCTTAGGCATTTTCAAATTATATGGAACATGGTTGATGACAAAAGAGAGGTAAGAAACTTGATAATAAGCACAGAAATCCAGTAAATTTATATTTTTCCTCAAAAAAAATGGGGAAAACAAAATGTGCTGACAAAACTCACAGAGTGGTTACTGTTCAGGATGTGAAAGTTCAGTGAGCATAATCTAACATTGTTCACAGCCCTTCAAATACTAACCTGTATTCTTTACTACTGTGAAGTACTTATAATAGTAGATTTAAAAACAAATGTAGATATTCATAGGATCAGTACAATATCAACTTTCCTCCCAGCTCCCTGAAAGTTGTTCCCTTGAAAGTCTACAGACTCACATCTGTTTATGTGTCTGATCTTCCAAAGGGCTTTGCTGAGATTTCGGCATGGTCTCCCATGAGATCCTCATAGAGAAGCTGATGAAGTATGGTCTAGATGAGAAAACGATGAGGTGGACTGAACACTGGCTGAATGGCCGGGTCCAGAGGGTGATGATCACAGTGATCACAGAGTCTAGTTGGAGGCCCGTAACTAGTGGTGTGCACCAGGGATCAATATTGGTTCCAATCCTGTTCAACAGCTTCACTGATGACCTGGATGATGGGGCAGAGTGCACCCTCAGCAAGTTTGCAAACTGGGAGGAGTGGCTGATACAGCAGAGGGTTGTGCTGCCATCCAGAGGGACCTAAACAGGCTGGAGAAATGGGATGACAGGAACCTCATGCTGTTCAACGAGGGAAAGTGCAAAGTCCTGTACCTGGGGAGGAACAACCCCAAGCACCAGTACATTCTGGGGGCCACCCAGCTGGAAAGCAGCTTGGCAGGAATGGCCTGGGGGTCCTCATGGACACCAAGCTGAACATGAGTCAGCAACATGCCCTTGCGGCAAAGGTGGCTAATGGTGTTCTAGGCTACACTAGGCAAAGTATTGCCAGCAGGTCAAGGGAGACAATCCTTCCCCTCTACTCAGCACTGGTGAGGCCACACCTGGAGTACTGTGTCCAGTGCTGGGCTCCTCAGTACAACAGAGACATAGACATACTGGAGAGAGTCCAGCAAATGGACATGAAGATGATGAAGGGACTGGAGTATGTCTCCTATGAGGAGAGGCTGAGGGAGCTGGGACTGTTCAGCCTGGTGAAGAGAAGGCTTGGGGGGATCTCATGAATGTACCTAAATACCTGAACGGAGGGTGCAAAGAGAAGAGAGACAGGCTCTGTTCAGTGGTTTCCAGTGACAGGAACAGAGGCAATGGGCACAAGCTGAAACACAGGAGGTTCCCTCTGAACATCAGAAAAGACTTTTTCACAGTGAAGGTGACTGAGCACTAGCACAGGTTACCCAGGGAGGCTGTGAAGTCTCCATCCTTAGAGATATTAAAAAGCCATCTGGGCATTGTCCTGGGCAGCTGGGTTTAGGAGGCTCCACTTGAGCAGAGGGGGTCAAAGAAGGTAACCTCCAGAGGTCCCTTCCAACCTCAACCATTCTGTGGTTCTGGGATGAGAAGAGCACCTGGGAGACTGAGTTGTTCAGATGCCCATACAACTTAAATCATCATCTGAATAATTCATGACAGCACTAAGATTTTAATATGAACAACATTATGGTGAAAGAAGTTGGTTGCTTGTAATTGGCACATGGCTGTGCTGGAGATGGAAGCAGTAGTCTGTACTGATGGAGCTGGAGAGTTCTGCATCCATGGTGCCTAGCACTGATAGTGTGTCTCTCTGATGTGGAAGAACACATTAAAGCAAAAATAGTTCCAGTGAAGCTCATTTACCAGAATAAAATATTTAAAGAGTATGGATACCATAGTTTCAGAGGGAAATACTTTCAGTCCTAATTTTTTAACAGCAGATCAAAATTGTTGTCACAAGTTTAACATGTGCTAGGTTGACTCTTAGAGCAGACTACCTTTGAAAAGCCAATAAGCTCCCAACATTCTTCTGTCCAGAGATGCACAGAGAAGGGGACAGGTTTACAGGCAGGTTTACAGGCCTGGCTGTGATTGTTCAAATTGTAGTTTAATTTCAGTTTTTCAAAGGCAGCTCATTGGGCATATAATTCTCATTACAGATTAATACAAATGGGGAAACTAAATCCCCAAGCAATTCTGAACATTTCTGACAAAAATTATCAGCACAGTTTCTCATTCTGTTTCAGTCAAATAACAGAAAAGACTTCTGTGAATGTGCTGAAGAGCTGGCTGCATGTGCATATTCTTCAGTAATGTATTCACAGAGACTTAAATAGGCCAGGATTTGACACAGAGTCTTTGGAGAAATACTGTTTTTCTCACTGATGAAGTTAAATGTCTGAGTTGGTTGTTAGATCACAGTAATAATTTACTATCTATTATGCAATTTTACCTAGGGAGTAATCCCTACTTTCCGAGTGAAGTTTCTGCTGAGGCTTCTGCGGGGCCGGCTGGAGGTGGATCTCGACAAGGACAAGCTGCTGTTCAAGCACATGTGCTATGAAATGGAACGGCTCCATAATGGTGGTGATGTCACTTTTCATGATGTGCTCAGGTACTCTGAGATTCTCTCTAAATTTGTAGAACAGATATAATGGCTGGTGTTTCTCTCTAGGCTCTGTATTCATTAGGCTTGGGAAAAGCCAAGGATGGTAGCCACAGATGCACTGGCGTTTTAAATAAAAAAATTAGATTTCCCTTTTTTTTGTGAAAAAATACTATTGATGGAAAACACAGGTCATAGGGAATCAGCTCTAAGTCATTTTAATGTTTGCATTGGAGACAGTTTGTCATAAAGAGCAGTCACATGTTGTTCTTGTGTCCCAAGCAATGCAATATTGTCCCCACTCATATAGAAACATGACAGTGAATCTGACAAGAAATAAAATGGAAATGGGAACATTATCCAAGCATAAATACTTGGGTGGGGCAGGGACCCCAACCATGACAAATGCCCTAGATGCTTACAGTTCAGCAGCTGACCTGTATTGGATAGCCTCATGTAGATGATAAGGTCTTCATTTGTTTTGAGCACCACAAGTCTCTTCTGGAATCAGCTCAGGATTTTTTAGCTTCAAATACAAATTTATTGCACACACCTGAATTACATATTTTTTCACCAAGGTCTTAAGTATGAGCTTTGATTTTCTAAATTAAAAGGTAAGATTACAAGCATTTAAAGAAAAAAACCCCAAACCTGTCTTTCTTCCAGCATGCTTTCATATAGGTCTGTTGATATCAGAAAAAGTCTTCAACTGGAAGAGCTGCTTGCTAGGGAACAGCTGGAATATACCATCGAAGAGGAGGTGGCCAAACAGACCATACGCATGTGGCTGAAGAAGTGCTTAAAGCGAATCAGAGCAGTAAGTCAGGCTAAACCATATCTAAATAGTTCCAGAAATTGTACTGCTCAGCAGTGCTGGAATTTGCTGTCACTGTGTTTCATTTACTCTTGAGTCACGTTAATATTTATGCAAAGAAGTACATAGCAGTTGCTAACTCATCAAAAAAAGTATGCTACAGCTCAATTGAAAGCACTACAAAAATGAGCATCTTTTGAAGGCAAAAACTGTCTTCCTGACAAAAATTTATCTGTCTTTTCAATACAGCAGGAAGATGGATGTGCAGAGACCAAAGTCAAAGGAATAAAGAAAAAACAATATAATTTGATGAAACCTCATAGGCCTAATCCTTCCTCACAGAATGAAATTGTATCATTTCCTTGTCTCTGCTGGCAGAAGATACCATGATCAGACACCAGCAGATATGGAATTTGTATCAAGATACATAATTTAAATGAGCCATTGCAGTAACTATGTGCTCAAATGAGCAATGTGTATATGTGAATCAGGTGTATGAACCATAGCACACAGTAGCTGTGTCCATGATAGTAAATTAATGGGGATTGGTTCAGGACTGGGATGGGGTCAGCCATACTCATTAGCCTGTTCCCCAGTAGTTTTGGCCTGTACATACTCATACTCTCCCAGACCACTGCCGTAGGAGCATCACTGCCCTCTAGGCATGGGTCAGGGTGGACACTGCTCCTGGCAGGCAGTGGTTGAAGCTGTCTTGTGTGGTAGAGGAGCGATTAGCCAGATCATGCAAGTCCTGGCCCGTCACTTGGCTTCAGCACTGCAGGAAATCCCAATCTGTTTAATTTACTAGTATAGACCTAGCCAGTGCTTCTGTATTCTGTTCATGCAGTGCTTCTAATCGTCAGAAACATTTTTGCCTTTGCTCAGGATAGCTACAATACATACTGATCAAAGGTTGTCTTGGATGAAATTTATATTAAATATTTTCAGGAAATTTGAACTGTGTTTTGCAGTTATTCTCCTCTTTTTTTCCAAAACCGACTCTTCCTTTAATATGTAAAGTCACAGCCTGGTTGCCTTGATGAATGATTTTTCAGCTGTAAGGCTGGGTCCTTTTGATGCATATATTTTTTGTTTTTATAAAAGCTCACTTCTTGTGTGTGGAGGTTTTCCATAGAGACGTGTGATCATGGGATCTGGCTTTTTCTGTTTGTAAATTTATAAAAAACCATAACTGGACAATTTGAATGTAATGTACATTCCAGCTGAAACGTCGATATTCAAGGCATATTCAGATAGATAGTTTCATTTTGGTCTCATCTCTGTGATAATAATGGCAGTAAATTTAATCTCAGCTCTCAATTCTGGGTTTGTTCAACTCTTTTGTTCATTTCATTATGATATTGAATTACACTATGTTAAAGTAAATATGCTATTCATTTCACTCTAGTAATATGGTTCAGATCATTTCACATTATATGAACCTTTTGTAAACTGAATGTAATTATGGAAGTTAATATATATTTTCAGATTCTCTTCTTAGTCTCTAAGTCTCTCTAGGGGGAGCGTGTTAAAACTACCCAGGAAAGTGAAACCCTTCCTAAAGGCTGTTTATTTTAATTTAAAAGCAAATTAGATTGTAAGATCATAATGGTAGTGGTTTTGTTTTTCTATTCGTACTGTAAATCTATACTCAGTCCCAAGGTTTCCACTACTGTTTTATTCAGTCTTATTGACAGCTTTTTCCGATGTCCATGAAAGAACTAATAAGAATTTTTTCATTGCCTTCATGTAATTCTGAGTGAATCTCTACAAATTTCCTTGTTTCTTTTTCTTTGCAAGAACTTGTATGTGTTTTTAAACTTTAGGTTTAAACAAACAGTTGAGCAACTTGCCTTCCACTTAATATAGTTTGTAAGTTTCATCCTTTATTTCCTACATAAAAGTTAGACATATGCTGGAAGTCACTTTATTTAAATAGCGGCCATCTGATACATGTAGCTTTATCGATGCACCCGGTATCCACATCTGGCACTCACTATTTGGTTAAATATTTAGAAGGCTTTAAAAACAATCAGACATTGTGACACACCAATGAGAACATTTCTGTTGTCACATATTGTACCTTGATAGAAACAACAGCAGTCATGCAGCATTATCCACAGTCTACGAGAGAGTCAACAGCAGGAGTTGAGCCGTTTTCTGAATCCTCCCAGCATTGAGACAACACAGCCAAGTGAAGATATGAATGCTATTAATCAGGATAACAGTGCACAGCCAGAGGTATGTGAACTAGAAGACTATCAGTTACTCAGAACAAATTCAGAAAACTTCCCTGTTTCTTATTTGTTCTTTTTTAAATGTAATTTTAAGGTGAAAAGCTGAAAGCAATATTTTGTTCTGCTTCAGTCTTTGCCTTCAGATGTAAAGGCAAGATGGTCTAAGGCAGTAATTCCCCAGCTTAGTCAGCTGCCTTGCTAGCACCATAAAGTGCAAATTCAGCTGTACAGTTCTGGCAGCACCAACTTTCAGCTCTAGCCTGAGCTGTGTACAGGCTCAGGGACTTGAAGTCAATTCAAGCATTCTGAAGTAGTTTCTACACTGAGAGTGATAACGTTGGGCATGCTCAGTCCTTTGAGTAGGAGTCCTGGCCTCTTCCAGGGTAGGGAATGAAGAAGGTACAGCATAAGAACTCCACTGTAGAAGGCTGAGAACAATTTCAGCAGGACTGTATAATGGAATTGAGCCTGAATCGTCTTTTTTTTCCTTAGTAGTAGTAGTTTTCTGGGGCAGTAAATAATAGAAACTATGCTACCTTAACAAATGGCAATATTTTTTATTTGTATTCATGTATAAAGCTTGGAAATAGAATAGAAAGATAACCCTTCTTAGAATTATCCCTATGCAATAGGAAACTATGGCTGAGAGTCTTTTTTCTCTGTTCAGACAAGTAGCCAGCAGCAGCTCCTTAGCCCAACACTTTCTGACAGAGGTGGCTATCAACAAGACTCTGCAGATGCTGGGAAACCTCAGCGGAAATTTGGGCAATGGCGTTTGCCATCAGGTAAGTGAAAAACGTGTATCAGTATAGTCCCCACCTGCCAAGTCACTGCTGTACAATAACAAGGCCATGAGAGGCTTCGTGATTCACAGTTCTACCTCCTGCCTGCTGCTTGCACCCACATCAGTGTTTTTCTGCTCTCATGCATGCTGAAATACAGCAGTCTCTCCCCTTCTTCCCAATTCTGAAAGCTTGGAAAATGTGCTTAAGCACTGCCATGTGCAGGTTGTTGTGTTTTTTTACTTTCTCATAAATTTACTCAGGATCTTTGGACCGGGGGCTGTACCATCTGGTATGTTTGGGTAGCACGTTGTGCATTCAGAGTTCTCTTTTATCATATAAAGTACAGTGAAAATTAATTAAGTTTTTCCTAACAAGAGTAATAACTTCTGAGTGTCTTGTCTTGCCCAAGCATAACAGATGTATTATTTATATTTTACACCGTAATAATACATTTTTATGTCTTCACTTCAGCCAGGAGTTGGCCAGGGATACAATCAGTTTCCTGTTTATTTTCTCACAAGCAGCAAACATCCTCAAGTCATTCTAGTAAATGAAGTCCACTAGAGAAGGAAGGCTACACTATGCCTTATAGGAGGGTGCTTATAGGACAGTGGGAGAGGTGCATAGGTACAGTCTGAGGCCTTATGAAGTCTTTATCTCAAGACCGCTCTCAACCACTTGAAATATTCTCTTTTAAAGTGCATATTGACCTCTGGTGCCTTCCACACTCGTGACCAGCAGGTTAGGTGTCTGCACATCAACCTGCTTTCAAGCTGTCATCAGTCAGTCCTATTCCAAGTCAAAGTGCTGCCTTCAAAGGCTGCCACTATTCACACCCTAATCATTTCTAGGTGGAAGTAGAAGAGATGGTCATGATATGAGTACCATTAACCCTAGTTCTGTGACCAGATTTCTTGTCCAAGAAACAGGACAGCTTAATAGAGAGCTTTCAATCCATGTTTTCCACTTAAATGTCACTGAGCAGCAAAGATCAACATTTTGTTGGAACAGAGAGAAATAGTAAAAGAGGGAGCATGCTACAGAGGAATTATACTATTGTAGCCAACTGGATAGGTTTTTCAAGTGAGAATGAGGATTTCCTTTCTTAGCATGATCTTGGCCATGTCACTTTCGTATGTACCTCAGTGGACAGGCTCAGAAAAGGAGGGTCACCCCCATGTACCGTCCAGCCTAGCAGATGATAAGTACTCTGCCCCCAATCCAACAAAGACATGTATTTAAGATCATGAATATCATCATTAAGAGTAATTGTGGTTTTCATATACATACACATGTGTTTTAGTGCTTTCCTAAAGCCATACCTGCACCTTGTACTGGTTTTCCACCCCTAGGCCATAGTTAAATATCACTTCCTAGGTGTAGCTGACAGCTCTAAATGCACTTTTCCCTTTTTCTGGCACTTACTACTTTCACCATTTTGCCAGCAGGTCAGCTCATGGAAGTACTGCTTAAACAATTTAGGTTGCAATCAGCCAGGTGGGAAGAGAGCTATTGCATCAGCTATCCCAGCAGAAGGAAATGAGGCACTGCTCAGTTAAACTCCTCTACCAGCAGATTAGTGGGAGTGGGTTGAACAGCTAGAGCTGAAAAAAATCCATTAGAACAGAGCCCTACTCTTCCAGTCAGTTCAAAACTGCCCCAGTCCAGCTAGTTCTGTATGCCTGAATTCTAAGAAAAAATGTTCAAGAAGCAGATCTACTCTAATACAGATCTTTCTGTTTAATTTCATAGCCCCCAAACCAATAAGCCATTCAGTGTCTTCAGTCAACCTCCGCTTTGGTGGACGTTCAACTATGAAATCTGTTGTATGCAAAATGAATCCTATGTCTGATGCTGCTTCTTGTGGATCAGAAGTCAAGAAATGGTGGACAAGACAATTAACTGTAGAGAGTGATGAGAGTGGAGAGGACCTTCTTGATATTTGAGAAAAATTTAAGTCATACTGAAACAACAGCCACTTCAAGTACAATCTAATTTTCTATGTTTAGAATTGAAGACGCTATGTGATGTAAGATTTCTTTAAAATCAATGTCATAATTTTTTTCAAATGCTTATCTTTCTGCCATATGAAGCATAGCACACACTTACATGTTAGAATTCACCTCTGTAAGTACTAACCGTACTTTAAGAAACCTGTATACAGTAACAGTACTAACAAAGCCAGAGAGAGTATATTGCCTTTAGCAGACAGAACGTTGAAAGATTTCATATGTTGTGTAGCTATATAATGAAAATGTATTTTGATATACACACATCTGTGCTTTTCTTCAACCCATACCGTACTTTAAAGTGGCAACACTTTACAATACAGGGGTAATATATTTCTTTTTGTGTTTTCCTTCAGTTTTTATTTAGTAACATTTCTTTAGAAAGATTTTATTATTCACAAATGACCTGAAGAGGTCAGCGCTGACTTCGTGTTCAAGGGAAGTATTTTTACAAAGTACAGATTCTAAATTACAAATCTAAGCTTTTTCTGGACCTTTTTTTAAAATATGGAAGATACAGGATAATTCATTTTAAAATCATAAAATGAAGGCTTGGCTTTTAAAGTGTAAATATCTTTGGATTTTGGTTAATTATGCAAAGAGCTTGATTTTCATAGAGAACACAGGGAAAAAAAAAAGAAAAAAAAAAGACATGAAAACTGTGCATTAAAGCATCTAGCAAAAGACTTCCATGCGAAAAACATTGTTTATGCTTGATTTTCAGAATATACTGGTTACATATTTGTGTAGTGTCATTATTCTCCTGTTAATTGGGTCCCGTTTCCTTGTGTAGACATAAGATAATTTTCTTCTTGTCTGTGTGATAAAAAATCAGCATGTTGGGGTTCTAATTACAGAGTAGTATTGTATGGCTTTTAAAACACAGTTCAGATTTGCCTGTGTAGGTAGAAGTGAATTTTACTTACCCATGTTACTACTCATGCTACAGCCCTGCAAAGCTAACATATGACACTGTACTGTGGGTAAGTACCTTTGTCCCTTTTATCCTGATCCAAATATTTTAACGTGTTAGCCTTCTTTCATTTTGTGAAGCACCGATACTGCTACATTATCACTGGTGAAAAAGCAGCTGTCCCTTTCATAAAAGTTTTTTCAGTGAAAGGCAATGCTATGCAGTGATGGAGGTGGAGAAGAAAAGCCACAAAACAGAGCAGAGTTTGTTAGTTTCAGAATTTAAGGCTGTCTAAAAATGTGGGGTAAAAATGTGCCCTTCCCTCAGGGAGGAACTAAGAGGCTGCAGATCCTGTTGCTCGGCCCCCGACTGGGTTTTTAGCATAGCTGGGACCTTTCCATCACCATTGTTTCCTATGGAAATGATAGGTTGCTCTAACATGTCCTGATGTGAGATCTTGTAAGAGGCTTGCAGTTAATGCACATCACCAGTTGAAAAATGTATCCTTTAAAAAGCAGATAAAAGCCAGTGCTTTGTGATGCTTTCTGGCCAAAATATTAATGCAGAGTGGTCAGAATACAGCATTGTTTTCACAGATACCTTCACCAGAAATGCGAAATTAGTTTTGGCCATAGAATTCTGTTTTCTTGGCATCTATCAGTGTTTTGTTCCCTGTGTATAGTTAAACATGGTATAGATTTTTTTCCAAAATAGGCATATTGAACACATCTGTATTTTGTGGTTTCTTTATCTGTTTTGGGTTATATTTAAGTTTAAATCTAGTCAACTGTAACTCTATAGTAACTGAACATGTGCATTCTCTTGTTTACTAGATTATGAACCATCAACAAAATTTCATAAGCAAATTCATGATTTTGTGTTCTGTTTTGTGCTTAAGTTGAGCTTTTGTATATAGGACAAAAAGATAAATATTGGACTTATAAAAGATAGTATCCTTGAAAGTTCAATAATATATTGAACTGCAAATCTTTCTGAATCATTCTTGCTGCAAATCTTCTTTTTAAAAAATCTGGCAAACATTTTTTCCTTGCCTTACAGTACTCTGTCAATAAAGGTGAGTTGCTTTAAGCAATATTCCTCCCTCTGGTTTTCATTCTAACTGCATTCTAACTGTATCTCGCTCATCTGTGATAATGCTGCATAGTGGCTTGGTGTGTGGTTTGTACAGGATTATTTAAAGAGTTGCTTTCAAACTCTTCTAATTGGAGGGTCTTTGGTTTTTTGGTGAGAAGTCCAGCACCAACCTCATCAGTACTGACACAAGGGGTCTCATTCAAAAAATGGGACTAAATAGGACTGTTCATTATTTATTTTTATTTAACTTGATGGGGGGGAGGGGTGTGAAATTTGTGGTAGAAACATTGAAATTGTTTCATAGACTACCTTCCAGTATCTTCCAAAACACTAGAGATCCCTGGACCATTCAATTAAATGAGCAAGCTGGCTCTGAGACAGCAGTGCTTACCTATTTGTTCCCCCATTTTGCTTTTGCAGATACAGGAAGTGAAATGGAGTTACAAAGATATGAAATAATATATACTAGAGCACCCAGGCAACTAGGTTAAGGTGAAAACCTACTCTAATATGGCACGCTCAACATAACTAAAGAAAGTGATAACCCTCTACTCTGCAGCAGAGCAACCAATGCACATTCGCACATGAAGGTGAAGAAGCAGAGAGGAGAGTTGAAAAAGGACTGAAGTTGAAACAACCTGTGCAAACAGTGGAGAGTTACAAAGAGGAAATAGTACATCAAGAAATCAGAGTTACTCCAGACAGCCCGAGAGAAAAGTTTAAACAGGAACAGACCTTAGACAAAGGTAAACAGGAAATTGCCAGGAGAATATTACTATCTCCAGTGCTCTTGGCTCCTGGAATTAAATGCAGTTATCCTGTACAAATGAAAAGAAGAAAGTATTTAAACTCCTTTTCATCCACTAAGAGAGCTCTGTTCCATAGGAAGCAAGTTGTAAGTCTTCATGGCTTGGGTGGACAAAAAGTGTAGTGCATGTTGTAATAAAAAACAGCTTGTGGGAAGTCTGAGAACATGCATCAAGGATGTATCTCAATGTCATTCCAAAGTCAGGTCAGATTTCAGACAATCACTTTTGTAATGAAGAAATTAATAATCCGAAACCATTTGCTACTGGAAGATATCCAACTGAATTAAGACCTAAAAACATAAAGCACAGTTTTATCTGGCAAGCTGAAAATACCATCATTATTTTAACTAATGAGGTCCATTCAAGCTTAAACATCTTCAAAATAACATTACATTCAGTATTGTCTGCATTCAAAGACCAATATCACAGCTTCTGAGAAGCCAAAGCAGATTTAGATGCCAAAAGCAAGTGAAAGTGAAAATAAACTTTTTTGTTCTGTTCTTTTTTTTCACAACATGCCCACAGCTCTTGTTATTGTGCAGATAAGGGTGTCCATGAATAACTGAAGCAGGAGAAGATTTTGCACTGTTGTAACAGTACATTTGGAGCCCCAGCAAGCAAGATGTGTGCTAAATCTCCCATCCAGGAATTCCCACTCCTTCTCCTGCAACATTTCCATAAGTGAAAACAAACACTGTCCTGAGCTGTCAGTCAAAATTACCTCAGTCTCCCTGAATTGAGCTTTAGGAGGCTAAATTTATTCCTTCTATTGAAGGCAGTTTAGTCACACCACCAAAGAACTTGCCACAATGCATAGGCTGATGCTGGGAAGTTGGCTGCCCTGGTTTGTTCAATTGCTCTGCAAAACAAAGGGAGCCTCACTAGAATTCAATTAACCTTCCTCTTCATCCCAAGGGCGCTAGCGTAGGACCCAATTAGCAGCTGTTGCCCATTGCTCGCAATGAAGAAGCTCTAAGCAAAAAGTTATTAACCCATCAATGAGCTAAGTGTTCAGGCTGTGGCACTGCATCCTCCTTCCATAGGTTCCTGTCTCAGATACTTATTCCAGTACCCTTACTGGTTTCATACCTTTACCTTGCATATCTGCACTGGAGAGTTTGGGTAAATTACTTGGGCACCTACAAAATTGTGCTACATAAAAGGGTAGCTTACTGGAAAGGCAAGAAATGTCTTAAGCACAGGTAGAAAAGGGAAAAAAAACAAAACCACAACCTATCCATCAGCCTGAAGAGCTGTTGACATTAGCCTGTTCTTTCTGAATTCAAGCAACAGCTACCTGTGGCACAAGCCTCCAGTGTTTCGATGGGTATTGCTTTGTTTCAGGAAAACTTTGCTAAGATTGGAAACAAACTGGTTAATACCAGATAGACATCAGTGGGTCCTAGAGACTTGGGCAGTCAGGTTCTGAGAAGCTGGATGCCACATCCTCTATCACGCCCTGTATTCTGGTTTTCTTTCAGGTTTTGCTCCCCAACTGCACAGAAGACACAAAGTACACGCTCCCAAGAAATGGAAGATTCAACAAAGTTATGATTTCATTATAATGTATCTGATGTCAGTTTGTAAGGGTAATGAGTCTTCCTTTTTTATCTCAGCACCCATTCCAGAGAACTACATGTTCTACAGCTCAGGTACTTTCACCCCTTAAATTTTCTATTTCAAACTGATTGGGGAGTACGTTTACTGATTTTTAAACAGAACACAGAAAAAGAAAAATAAAAGAAATAAAATTTTTAAAAAAGAGGAAAAAGGAAAAAGAAAAAGAAAAAATAAAAAGAAAAACAAAAAGAAAAAGAAAAAGAGAAAAAGAAGAACAAAGAAAAGGAGTTACCTCTGGTTTTGGGGTTTGTTTGGTTGGGTTTTTTTCATTTTAGCAGCTATTTGAAAAAAATACCAAACATGTCTGTGTTTCTGTGTAAAGACAAGCTTCTCAGTTGTTCTGACCAAGCTAAGAAAATAAAAAAAGTTTTCACCTTTTTCTTAATGTGTCCATTTCTCAAATGCACATCAGTGCTGAAATGAAGATTTTTCATGTTTTGACTTTTCTTTTTAGTTTAAAATGTCATCAAAAGCTATTTCCTGTATTTTGCTTAATATTGTCAATACTTTGTTCAATGAAAAACTGATTTTCTCCATGAGTTTTTATCATGAATAAAAACACACTCAGATCTACTTTTTTTTTAAAAACACCAAGAAAAAGTTCATCCTGCTGGATGAAAAACTGGACATGAGCCTGCAATGTGCATTTTCAGCCCAGAAAGACAAGCATATCCTGGGCTGCCTCAAAAGAAGCATGACCAGCAGGTTGAGGGCAGTGATTCTCCCCCTCTACTCTCCTCTCCCACGAGACTCCACCTGAAGTACTGTGTTCAGCTCCAGGGTCCAAGTACAAAAAAGGCATGAACCTGTTGGAGCAGATCCAGAGGAGGTCCACAAAATGGTCAGAGGGCTGGCGCACCTACCATACAAGGACAGGCTGAGAGAGTTGGGGTTGTTCAGCCTGGAGAAGAGGAGGTTCCTGGGAGGCCTTATAGCGGCCTTTCAATTTATAAAGGGGTTTATAGGAAAGGTGGAGAGAGACTTCTTACCAAGGCTTGTAGTGACAGGACCAAGGGGCAACGGTTTTAAACTGAAAAAGGGTAGATTTAGATTGGACATAAGGAATACATTTTTTATGATAAGGGTGGTGAGACACTGGACCAAGTTGCCCAGAGAAGCTGTGAATGTGCCACACCTGGAAG